AACTAAGATATTAAAATAATATGTAATGTTTAGGTATATAAAAATATTAATCCTTACATTTTTTTATCATAATATATATAATACTGCAGTTATATTTGTATTTTTTATTTATACATATTACACACGTTACACGCACACGTATGGTTTTAATAAATCATAATAATAATAATAATAATAATAATAATAACAAATAACAATATAATGATACGCGTAATTACTAATATGTTTGTAAGGATTTTTCTTTTAAACACCGGAAATGTCTATTTATGTGTGAAGTGTGTAAATACACACTTATATATATATATATATATATATGCATTAGCTTGTATGTGTTTTAATAATCATATGTTTTTAGACAGTTTAGTGTTTTTATAACTATTAAAAAAATCGCATTTCAACAAAAATAAAAAATAAAAAATAGTTATAGCATTTTATTGCAAATCGTTATTACTCACGATTGCCACACATGTATGTTTTTTACATACCTGTTTAATAATAGAGTATATTAAATGATGTTATCCGAGTATTAATTGTTTTCGTTTTTCGAGCTATTATTATTATTTCGTTCGTTTATTTTTTTTCTTCTAGTGGTGGACGTAAATAAAAATATATGATGTGGCTTAACCTATGCATTTGTATCGGAAGTATATCATTCATCTTATACGACACGCGAACGTGTATAAATATAGACTTGGACGGCTTACAGACACCGCTCACACACCTGCAGTGTTTAAGACTGTTTAGAGGGTCCTGCGATGATCCTTGCACCGCGGTGTGGTTATAATATGGTCGCGTACACAGATTTCTTTTTTCTCCAAAACAACACGTCGCATTCATCTGCAATGCATATTGCCATTTTGGTTTCTCGCGAAAGGGAGCAGCTGCAGCCGATGTGTGCGGGTATTGTGGTAATACGACGTCCGCATGCCTTACACCTCGCACCATGTTATTACACTCTATCGAACACCATTCTTTGCATACTCTGATTTCTGTAAAACATTTCAATAAATTAAAAATCAGTAGTCGGGGTCCAATACGATCATTATATTATTATTTATGTTTCCGCTGTACTACCGGAGTCATGGGTACTAATATTCTCAGAATATTAGACGATGACGTCTCGCCATCGATTTTTCGGTACCTATAATTGTTGACGAAGATCGAAAACAACTACGAATTGCTTTCAAAAAAATCTAGGCCGGATTTAAATTAAACGACGTTTTATCCGCACGTCATGTCTCTGTATAACTAACACATAACGAGTTATGAATATGTAAAATATTCTATGTTGTTTAATTTTACGCATTTATAAAAAAAACTTAGCGAATAAGCGACTCCCTAAATGTTATAGATAAGACACCTTTTATGAAAATAAGATAACTGCATTTTTAAACACCTTATATATTTTCTTTTTTGGAAATATTATTTAAAGAAAAAATTATAAGTAATTGTTTAAAAAAAAAGAAAATATGTATATACGAATTCGTATTTGAAAATGCAATTAGCATTAACAAAAACCCGACATAAAAATGCCTTGAAAAATATTGTTATCTTTCATTAAGCTCTAAAATCGTACTTTTTATCTAATAACGATCGGTCTGTAAGATTGTAACAATATGTATGCATTTCTATATAATTTTGTAGGTAATTATACACTTACGCAGAACATTAGGGACGGAGGATCACCAGTTAACTACTAAGAATTGACATTAAATGTATTTTAATTTTTCTATTTGAATCATTCTTAACATTTTTTTATAATTGTTTCTATATAAAACATCGATGGACAGTTCTCGCATAATTGCATATTATTCAATAAACTTGTGACCTTGTCGATTGTTTAAATAATATTATTATGGTCCGAGAAAGTTTTAGTATTTGAATAATCACTATTTCTGAAACAAATTCACGGTTATACATTCGTCTTTTTCACCAGGTAGGTACCTATATGATTTTTAGACAGTTTCTGCTAAATTATAAAATGTGGGAAACAACTAATAACTTCATTTCGGGAGCATCAACTAAATTTAATTTGTTTTGATTTTCAATACAGAATTTATATATTTGATTACTTAATTTAGATACATTATATATTATATTAATTATATAAAATAAATTCTGTATTGAAATCAAAACAAATTAAATAAATATATTATTATTTTTACATCATTCATACTGGAGGATAAATAATGGTATGCTGTTTTTTTTTTCAATTTGTGTTGACTACTCATGAAATAATTTTTTTTTATTTCACATCATTATCTATAATTTTGCTAGCGTAAACGAATAATTCAATAATATTGTATTTTCTGCGTACCTAAATTGTAAATAGCCCGTTAAAAACACTCAAATTCTATAAATTAATAGGTTTTTTGTTCGTTATTTTTTTAGAAGGCAAATGAACAACATGATGATGGTTACAACTCATTTTTTTACCTAACTAATCTTTTGCTTACAAATCGAAAATATTATAAATTAAAAACCTTATTTTTTTTTTTTTTTTTATTGCTCATTTGCGCAAAATACTAATTTCCCATCTCGCTTTGCCAATAAGTACCAAGGTGAACGGTCGTTGTTTATTGTCGTTGGTCACCGTTAAGCGTTATCTGTAAAATGTGTATCGCAATCAAGAAATACGTATTGTGTGTCAGTCACACAACAAATTAACAACAGGCGAAAATGTGTTCATATCTCAAATTATCAATTCAAGACGGTGCTGTAGATAAATCAATTCAATTAGTTTTAAAGATAGCATAAACAAAAGTGTTATCATTAGTAGGTATAATAATCCATTATGTTGATATTTCAAATGTTTCGGAAATGCGTTGAGGTAAACTGTGGTCTTTTAATGAGAACAATAAATATTAAATGTAGTAAATTTCGAAGGCTGGTGACTAATGCACGTTATTTTTAGAGAAACGAATAAAAAGCGTTTGACGAGTGACTAAAAGTGAGTTATGCGTGAAAATAAGTTCTTTGTTTTACGTTAGTGTTACTGTTACGTTGTAGTTTATTGATAGGTATATAATAAATAAAAAACCTATAATACATAATATAAAAATGTTTAAATACGAGAAATAAATTAAAATGTATAATAATTTATAATTTATAAATGTATAATGATTGTTTTCAATAACCTAACTCTGATACTTATGTATTAATACGATTATTATTTGATATTTTAGTTAAAATAAAACAACAAAGTAAAAAAATATATATGTGTAGACTGTAGATAAATAGCTGGTAGTTCATTGTTCCTAATTTTCGATGTTAACCACGTACTGATTTTTTAAATTCTTCGTTCGTAATAGAATCTAGACATCATTAAGTTTATTATTATATGTTTTTCGATAGAAATGTGATTTATTAATCGACAAATAGACTTTAAGTAAAAATAATTTATTTTAGAAATAATTTTCCACAAAACGTTATCCAAGCATGATATTGACTGATAATATTTACATGTATTACAATATTAAAATGCAAAAAATACACTATTATATTAACATATTTTCAATTATGTTCTTTTCGCAAAATATAACCAATAATGCGAAAATATGCATTTAAATTTTGTATTTAATTTCAGAATTTTGTATAAAAAATGTACATATTATTTAGAATAATCTATAGCTACTCCAAAAAAAAAAATATATATATGCAAATGCAGAAGTATCAAACCCTAATAATAAATATTGTGCGCGAAAACGGCTTGAAAATTAACTGAATGTTGATTTCACCGTAAAAATAAGTTAAATTGTTGTAGGTGGTAGAATAACGACATTTTTTGCCTGTAACTATCTGTAAACTGTGCAATAAAAACATTAATTTTTTTTATGCATATATCATCTAATGTCATCGAATAGTTTAAATTAGTGTTATTACGCAATGCATTGGATGTATATTTGATGACAAAAAAAGTAGGCAACACGTTGATCGCCCAGAAAAAGTTCTCATCTATCTCGTTTAAATATTTTGTTTCGTAACTAATATTTACGACTGCATAATACCCACGCATTGTCCGATGATAACGCACCATTCTAGACGGATTTACAGGAATACTATATAATTACATTTTGTAACATATTTTGGATTTTTGTTAATGAATATTGCCATTATTTTGTAAATTATTTAATATTTTCTTTTAAATATCATTACCTAATGTTAAATGAAGATGTGCTTGAAGACGGGCATGATATAGGCAGCCAAACATATAATGCTTTATTGCATACGTTGAACTCCTTAAATGACCCAGACAAGCAAAACCATGTAATGGTCACCAGTACGCGTTGCTCTAAATGTTACGCTCATGTACATTTTAAGTGTTTTTATGTTTTTTGCTAATTAAAATAATTTTGCACGATTAAAAATCAACGTGTCTGGTAATTGTTTTATAAAATCACCAAATTTTCACCGTTTTTAGAAGAAAACATTATCTGTGCTAAAACGTTTTAAAAAGTTCGATAACTTAATCCTCTAATTTTCTTACAACTGATTAAAAAAACAAAAAATATAATATAATTCTTATCTATCTGTCTATGACGATTTAGTGATTTTAACATCATCATAGCTTCTACAGTGCCATGTTTTCATACAACAAATGAAGGTTAGACGCGTCTTCCTAATCCTAAACGTATTTATATTGTGTTTTCCATCCCAAAGTTAAAAATTTGGTATTTATTATTGTTGATATGACATCATTTTTAGTATTTTTAACCAAATAATTGATATAATTTATAAAACTATAAGGATATTTGTTGAAAATAAATTGTTTTTTAACATCGATGTGTAATCTTGGTTTTAATGAGGATTTATAACTTTGCTTATTTTTTCATAATTTAATTAGGTAGGTATAATTTGTAACTGAGAGTGTCATGTGTGGTATACCGGTTTAATTTAATTATAGTTTTTCTGTTTTGTTCCGTAGAATATAACTTTAGGAAAATTAATTTTAGTTAATAAATTGTCGGTCATATATTAATAAGAACACTCTGTTTTTTCAGGTTTTAAACGATTTGTTATTCGAGTTGGTTTATATTGGACGGTGAAAAAAGATAAAAGGATCCAAAAAAAGCAACCATGTTGAAACACGTGCACCGAGCAAAATGTGCCGACACGCTTAGCATTGTGTCTACAGCAAGTTCTTTCAACCATGAGCCAATGTCTAGTAGATGTTCAAGTGTAACGTCGCTGAACATTTCAAATCCAGTTGTAAGTTTTTAAAAGTTTCTTAAATAAAAAAAAAACATACTTTTGATTTTTATGTTTGAAAATTTAAATTCATTAAACTTAATAATTATAAAATTAAAGTTATTAGGTACTCAGAAACTATTCGTTTGAATTTCGATTTATACACATTAATGTTTAAAAAAAAAAATCATTTTAACAATTTTCATTAAAATATATTTAAAAATATTATGGTTTTAAGTAGGTATACTTAAAAATTCTTAAAACTAAAATTTGAGTAAATTAATTATTAAAAAAAAAAATTAGGTAAGCATGGTTGGTAAATCACTGCACTCATTTATAAAGACAATTTTAAATACTATAATAGTCGTTTTTATAGGCATTTATCGCAACGTCTATCTTATATTTTTTTTTGAATACTTAAATTTTTTTTAACTTTAAAATGATAGGTACCCCCGTGTAAACCAATAAAAGACAAATAATATAGTTAGGTAATTAATGTATAATATATTTACTCAATCTAATCAATTTTTTTCGTGACGCTTATTTATGGAGTTATATTAATACATTAATAATACAATATAATGCTTATAGGATACAATTAAAGTGTACACAAAGTGTTTGCGTTCCGATCTCGAGTACAAAACACTTGGACTGGCTTATTCGACGACTTGCAGTGAAGTGATATCTATTCTACTCAACAAATACCGAATGCGTCACAGAGATCCAAATTTGTTTTTCATGACCATGGAAATAAATCTCAGAAAAATAGGTACGTTAATACATTACAATTCACGTTTTAGTTCTTAAATTATAACGTGTAATGTCATTGCAATGATTATATTTAATTTTTTATTCAGGACTCAGAACTGTATTCGTCCTGGATAACGAATCATGTCCTGCCGTGTTACAGTCATGCCACCCCAGAGGAGAATCGAGGTGTGTTATAATAATATTAATAATTCATTTATCATCATATTTCTAGTTTGTTATTTTCGTAGAGTCTCATAATAACATGTTGGTATTAAATATTTTTTATCTTTTATGTTATTCATATTCCTTGATAATAGTTACGCATCATTATACAACTATTTTCCTTTCACATAAAATTTACAGTGTTTTTACTCGAAATTTTCGTTTAAATATGTGCTGCATATTCTTTGCATATTTTCTTTTTAACATTTAAAATTCTTTGTATCCAATATTGGTTTAGTAATTCCACGCATTATGGTTTGTTGAGTTTTATTTTTTTATTATTATTATAAACCAAATTTAACATGTACGTTTTATTATTTGTTTAAGGTTTTGCTTGCAATCCAAAAAAGGTGGCCTTGTGAAAGTTTATGATGGCGAATTAATGCCGGGGGTAAGTTTGACATTTTTTTTTTACTTCGAACTTTTACCTTAACCATATTAATAATATGTTTCTATTTCTATTAGTCCAAGTATAAGAGTTTATTGATATCTGAACGTACGACCGTCGACGAGTTGATCAGAATATTACTAAATTGTTATAATAGCAAAGAACAAGTCGAACAGTTTTCTTTGTACGAGGTAAATACTCATTACGTGATTGAGATTTTGACGACAAATATTAAATTTCATTATTTTTAATTAGTTATCGAAATCCGAAGAATACCAACGCAAACTCCATCATGATGACATACCATTGAACGTGCAATGTTGTTGGCCGGTCAATAGTGACTACATTTTTCTCATTAAAAGGAATCCTAATTATAAGTCGAAACAAGTGAGTTTAGATATAATTTTTTTTATAGTGTATTATGCATATTGTATTAGGCATAATAGTTTATTAATAGGTATATAATCGTTCTATTTGCTTGCATTGCAATAGCTAATCAGTGTTGGTTTTCCACTTTCCAGTATCTTTAATAACTTCATTTTTATATTATAATTAAATTTTCATAATATTATGAATGTGCTGATTAAAAAATAGTCAAATATATTAATAATACTAAATTATGAAAAATTAATAATATGAATTTCATTAGAACTATAATTACAAGTATAGTTGAGATACTGTAAAAAAAAAAATCATAAGTTAAACTGAATTAAATTCAAAAACATAAACAGTGATGTATCCCTTTAAAAATAAAATGAACACTATCCAAGCAAACGAAACCATATTATGATGGTCAATATAATGCACAGCTCTGTATGTGACGCGCAAATCCAAACCAATATGTCTCGGAATTATTATAAAATCGTCAAATTTATAGTACTATGTATTATATTCAATGGTATTATCCATACTAAAGCGTTTTTTATAAAAACTACAACTCAATCCAATAATATTAAATAATACAATAAAAAAAACCTAAAATATTACCTAAACCTGTACTAAATAAATTTGAAAAAAAATTATTTCATCTAATTAGATATTGCAATTATTTGGCATTGATAATACGTATTTATTATTCTTTAATTTTCTTTAAAGATTTTAGTTTAGTCACCACTTTTAATAGATTCATATCCTCACAAACTCTGTTTCCATACTACAAATTATTGTGGTATTGATCAAGTGGTAGATAGTGTCCACTTTACAGTTATTTTTAAAACTTTATCCTAGTAATTTCCTACTAGACAGCGCTACGGTATCTTAAAAGACGATATTTTTACTACATATTATGCAAGTTAAATGGTATTTATTGTCGCGTAATTTTCTAATACATTAAATTTACAACAATTATATGATTCACGATCAAGTACATATTCAAGGTTAGAGTGTCCGTGGAGTTTGGAATTTGAACTTCTTTCCAGAAACTTTTAAAATTAAAAATAAAAGGTTTTGTACACCAATCATGTAAAAAAATGAAAAACAAAAATTTTGTTTAAAATATAACTAAAAATAAAACCTTAACTACGTGCTTGCTCGCGATAGTTATTGCAGTGAAAACAATATGACGATTTCAATTTTTCTGCAGTTAAATTAATGGTTTTCCTGACCTGTTATTAGGTGCAGACGATTTGGACTGAACATCACAATCAAGAAGAAGAACCTTCAATAAACGAATACGAAAATTTTATTTATATATAATAAGTGTTGATGTATCAAATCCATCATGTATATATACACCGTAATTGTCACTGTGACCGTGTTATATTACTAATAAGCGACTGTTTTTGTATAGCCGATCAAACGGTTTACAAATTTTTTCATGAGTTATTTATATAAGTTTTTAAGTGTAGATGTATGTACAAAATATCTATTAGTTTTTTACTTATACAATAATTAATGTCTATGTTTGAGGTTTTAATGTAGTTATAAAATATATGGTCTATGGAGCTACTGCACAATAGTAGCGCGTAGAAGTTATTTTGTAAATGGGTCTCAAATTCATGATAAGTTGTAAATGCTCCTTTTTTAATAAACGTTGAAAGAAATTAAGGTATACGTTTGAATTGTGACAAAAATAATGTTCAATATGCCTATTGTGTATACTTTCAACCTCAGAAACTAATACATTAATAAATGATTTTATTAATGCTAATAAGTACAAGCCTAACTACATAATGATTTAAATTAAACAAAACAATGACAATTTTACTGTCAACTGTTACCAACAGAAAAAAAAATAATCAACGCTATGATTACTTTTTTCCATATTACTCAAAAGGTGCCTGTATAAAGTATATTTTAGTTGTTGATCGATGCACCCAATTAAAATAGAGCATACTCCTTTTTTTAATTTTTTATTATTATATTTAAGCTTTTTTTTAATAACAACATTGTTTTTTTTTTTACAGTGTTGAAATATTATAAGTTATTGTTTTGAAATTGTTTTATGGATTTGTATATATATTTATAATTTTTTTTTTTTTTTTTTGTTAAATTTATAGCTTATTTAAATATTGAGAATAAAAACATTGTACATCATTTTAATTATTAAAATTGTTAGAATCACAATATGAATTGTAATAATTTTTTTAAGTCAAAGAAATCTCTGCCTATATCTATGTATTCAAATTCTTATAAAAAAAAATGATACTTTTTCGTTAAGCTTTTACTAGTCTTAAATCTTTATGTTTTGTTTATGCATAAGTTTATTATTAAATAAGTTATGTATTTATGCGATACACGTCAATGTATGTCAATTAAATAAATTTGTCATGTAATATTGTGGAATAATAGTCACTTGCCTAGCTGTTAGTTTGGGTGCATGTATGATTAGTATATATTTAACACTTGAGTAAGATTTGATTTGTCGTTTGAATGTAATTAATGAATTCAGTAGTGAGAGTTCATGTAAGGTATGATGGTTCAGTCAGACAACTTTTATCAGAAAATAATATTTTAATATAAAATTTAATATGCCTAAAACATAATTAATTTTTATATTATGTTAAATTACATCAAACTGATGGTGATATTTCAATTGATTTTAATATAACTATTGTTATAATACACTATTGTGTTGCAAAACAAATAGGTATTATTGACTTGAAACTGTAACTTAACTACCGATAAATTATGTAAAACAATAATGTTGTTAATAGAATATTAATAAATTCAAAAGACATATTTATGATATTATTTTCTAATATTAGTTGATTGATAACAACTTGTAGGTGCTCATTATGATGTACTAGGTCTAGTAGTATATTTAATGTGTTTTATTTTTATTTGTACATATAGTGTTTTTTTATTCTTGCTATTGCTTATTCTCAAAATTATCATTAAGTCATCTACCTACTATTTATAGCAGAAAAATATGCATTAGTGTTAAGTATTTATGTATATTAATGAAATATTATTATCAACACTCATCAAAACCGTAATATATCTGTATTTCTGTATAATTTGTGTAAGTACTTATATTATAAATTATGTTATAAGACTAATGAGGTAGTAGAAATATTTGTTTTATCCATTATGTCATTTAAGAATTATTATTGAAAAATACATTTTGGTAATTGGTTTTGAACATTGTATTTCCTTACAATTATGAATTATGTTTAAAATAATTAATTCTATAGTTCACAATATTAGATGTCTTTGTTTGCTATGCGTAATTTAAGTTTAGGTATACCATCTTAAGAGGCTTTACACACATGGCATTCAAACAATTAAATAACTTAAAATTTAAACAAATTATAAACTGTTCTAAAAATGTTTATTTTACATTTAATGAGTTTTTGTAATCAAGAACAATTTTTATTGACTAGATATTTTATCTTTTTAGCATCAAATTAAATAGTATTCATGTTAATTATAAATGTGTCAACTACCTTTTAAATAGTTTTTATAATTAATATTTTTTAAACTTGAGAAGAAAAAGTGTATTTTTTTTTTTATTTTTGTTTACTATAAGATTCTTAAAACTGTATATTGAACTTTATACTACAAAAAAAAAAAAAAAAAATGTTAGTCATAGATTATTAATGTTATTTGCCAAAGATGTATATTTGTATTATTAATATCAAATAAAAAATATTTAAAGTGTTTAATACAAACTAAAAATAATGTGTTTTTAATTTTTATAAATATCTATATCATAAATGTGTTATATATTATTATTTATGATATAGATAATGAGTAATGTACCCAGCAACAGGCATTATATTATGTCTTAAATTACATAACTTACATAGTATATTGACAGGCGGCAATAGCATATACTATACATGTTGTGCTGTTAAAGAAAAATAAAAAATGAAGTGTTTAGAAATAATATCTTAAAAGTATTAATTTAACAATACCATTTATGAGTTTTATTGAAGAATTAGTTAAAAATCATGAAAATTTTTTAAATTTTTCTTTCTATACACAACTTTATAATTGCATTAAATTCTTGATAAAATCTTTTCTGCTAATCATTTTAACTTCCTATTAGTTTTTTAATTGACTATTAAAATATAGAAATAATATAAAGGAACACTGGAATCTTTTCATAACTGACTTGACGGTTCTCTGGAAAATATTAATTAAATTGAAATAATTTTTGAAAATTATATATACCTAATAAGTAATAATAATAATACTGTATGGTAGTGAACTAATGAAATTAAAAATGATTTGCTAGTATGCAGTATGCACTATGTATGTAATTATAAAAATTTATATTCTTAGTTATAGAATATATATTTGCGTTAAATTAACAAGTTTGTTTTAATGACGATTAATGATGGTACATTATTTTTTATTTTAATGATGATAATTAAAATTGTCACTGTAGGTTTTCCTTTACCAAATTATACTCATATATTTTTAACTTTTGGCCTAAATGCTTATTGTGTTTACTAATACAGATTGTATACTACTCTTTTAAAATAAAAAATAATAATAATAATTATAAAACATTAATTTTTAGGTAATAAGAAATATTATAGTTATCTAAAAAAATAACTATTTAAATATTATAAGTATTATAATTTATAACTAAGTCAAGTTACACATATTCAAGAAAATAATACTTTTTAAATTCATTATTGAGATTACTTATATCACTTTTTACTTTTTAATATTACTATGTGTGTTTTTTTTTTGAATTTGTAAATACAATTAGTAGTCGATAAAATGCTTTAATGTTCAAAAATAGGTATGGTAGAAAATTGAATCTAGTTGGTACACTGGAAGATTAAAAGTAAATATAAAAAAAAAAAAAAAAATAGAATTTTAATTTTAATCAATTTTTTAATAAAATGAATTTATTAAAAAATAATAACTGTAAATACTTCAAATTCCCATCATGTTTATCCAACTATTTTTTTTAATAGTAAAATTTTCAAATTTTTTCTATTATTTATAAGACAATCGGAATCATTAATTTTGTTGATTACACAAAATTGTTTTTCTTTACTATCTGTTTATATAATAACCATTGCTCACATTATTGGCTGATATGTGACCACATAAACTACTTTGAATTAGTATTTAAATATTTTTAAGGTTTAAAATAATAATTTATCTTAAAATTGATTTTATAATTTCCTTTAAACATCAGGTGTAACGTCCTCGCAGCAGTTTTATAACATTCAATACAGACAATATTTAAGGAGTTCGATTAGGCAATTTTAGATGATGATTGTGTTAATGTGTACGTACCTAGTAATAATCCTGGGAGCATGTAACAGTAGTGTTCAAAAGAAATATTAGAGTGTTATCTCACGTACATGCACATGTCAACAACACGCATTATGAATATTAATTTTTTTTTATAAAATTTAAAGAATAAGTCATTGTTAAATTTTATTAACTATTTATCTAATAACATTTCTGAAAACATATCTCGTTATAAAGTTTATTTGAAATCTTGATACTTTCTTGCATTTTTTAGTTTGTTCAGTTTATTATTAACAATTAGAAATTTGAATATGCAAAATTTAAAGATAATGTTTTGAAGGGTTTTGAGAATTAAATTTCAAATAAGTGAAAAAATGATTTTTAATTTTTATTTCATGACAAATTCAAATATGAAATTTTAAAAGTAGGTAACATATTTGTTTGATATTGCACCGTCCAGTGTCTTAGAATTTTTCACTATTATTAGATAGAAAATATCTACGGAAATACTGAATATTTTTAGATTAATCATTAAATAATATCATATCTAAAAGGCAAGGGGCCAAGACACTACGCAGTGGTAGTGCGTCTTGGCGGTTTATTATGTGTGTGTATACTGTAACATACATTACGTATACATTAAACAATATCAAAAAATATAGTATTATTCCTTAGAAATTAAGTTCTGAATATTCATAGAATTACCATACGTAAAAAAATGATTATCGCATATATGAGTCTGCTACCCGTCTTATTGTGTGACAACCTAATATAAAAGTCGCAATTTTTGTTGAGAAATAAATCCGTAAATATTCAGTTACCAACAAAAAACATAAATAACCAACTCAAGTTTAATTATTCATCAGAGTAATTAATAACAATGTTAATTTTTATAACATTCAATTTTTGATTTAGTTTAGTTAAATTAAAAAAGTAACTTTTATTTAGTGTAAAAAAATTAGTAACTTATTTTCATTATTTCGTAAATGTCCGTTGATTATATTCAATATACTTCATGGTAGTAGCCTTCTATACTTAAAAGTTTTAGTACAATTTTAATGAACCATGTTTTCTTTTTCTCCCGTTTTGAATATCAATACACTTATGATATAAGTCCTATCATCTACAGCTTCCCACAATAAAATAAATTGTACCTATTTTAGAAAATGCACAGTTGGATGATAAATAATTATTCAATAGTATATAATATTATCTTATAGTTATAACTTATAACTTATAAGTAGAGGACGGATTTTTATGATTTTAAATATTTTTTTCTAGTGTATGCAGTTAAATGAGAATAAAATATCTATGCGATTCATAAGATACAGAGTTCATAGGAAAAAATTTATTTTGCATAAAAAAGCGTATTTTAAGGGTTAAAGAATATTTAACACGTTAGAGAATATTTGAAAATATTTCATGTATATCGGCAATTTGATAAATACAATATTCACTATACGATTTATTTCTGGGTTCTAACTTCTATAATAAATTAGGTAATCATCAGATATTCCTTATCGATTGTGATAGGCGATAGCACACAAGTTATTTCGTTAGTTGTCACAAATATTCAGTCGTCCGTACCGGTGTTTGTTGATATTACATAATATAACAAATTAATTAATTAATTAATAATACAAGGTAATACATAGTATAATAAATAATAAATTTCAACTTAATATATGTTGTTGTTTTAATATTGAAAGAATATTTTGCATTTTTAAGGACATAAAACATCATATATCTGGTATTTTAAAAGAATATTAAGAGTATATATTTTCTGTTTTAAACGATATAAAAACATTATATATTAAGGATTTTAATAGAATATAAATCCGACTTATAACTTATAAGACGTATAGATATAAGTAATAATTAAATAATTTATATTAAATGATAAAAGTGCTATTATAGTAGGTAGTATAGAATCACCAAGAAAAACCAAAACAAAGCGAACGTAATCTTTTAAGACGTTTTTGGATCATTATTCATTGCTCACGTAACACAAGAGTAACGCACACAAAGTCCGTAGTTGTAGACCAATAATAATAATAGTTTTATTTATAGTTTTAAATTTACTTTACAAAGATAATATTTTATTCAATACAGGCTTTATTCGACGAAAATAATAATGGTATTTCGCGTTTATTTTGAGAGGCCATGTCCAATGTAAAACGACAAAATATTAATAATTTTATTTACGAAACATAATAATATGTATAAATATTGATAATCTAAACAAAGATGTTAAAGTATTTGAATTCAATACGTATGAGATAATATTTCAAATATCCATTTTGAAAATAGTTAATTTGAAAAGTATTTTAAATAATATGTGGAGAGTGGTTACTGGTTACTCCAATAGTATTTAAATATTTTTACTCAAATAATTTACAAAATTGAATGTATTATATACACCTGGTTTAGGATTACCTACCAGATGCAATTAATTTAAAGAGTATTATATTTTTATTGAAATAGAATCAAAGTATGTAAAACAAATGTTGGTTAAAGTCAGATTCTCCTTTATTTGCTGTTTAAGTAATTAAAACTTTTAAGTCCCAGTATGCTTCACATTATTTTTCAGTTTTTTTAAACATAGGAATACGAAATACCTACTCTTTAATTATTAGTTATCATTAAATTTACATTTTTGACGGGACATGGTGAAACATTTATCACAAGTTGGACAATACCGGCCGACGAAAATTCAAAACAACTAAATTTAATAAATATTGCAATCATCTTATTATCATAACTCGCAGTGGAATAAGCATAAAATAATCATAATATTATTTAGAAATTGCTATGACCAGTATTGTATTATTTCGTATTTGTATAGACTACGATAGACTATCAATACAATATATTATTATACGTTGTGCGCATATAAATTACAACGTATATGACAATAATTATTGTGAACTGTTATCTTATTTATTTTACGAACAATACGAACCGTTCTTTGTACTTGCGTTTTACAAAACATGCATTCTTGTAATCTTTTCCCCACGGAAATAAGTATTATTTATAAATTATAATTCATGAATCAGAGTAACAAATAACTTATAGTGTATTGCGATAAAATGTATATAATTTTTTTTCTTCTGATAAGTTCACTTAAGGCACTTACAATATTGTATAATATACTCTTTGACAGTCTTTTACAAAAGAATACATACTATTTAATTTGGCCTCAGAGGCCCTTACACACTAAGCGAATTGGTCGCGCTCGGACGCGATTTTAAATCGCCGCGAACGTTCGCTTAAAAATAAACAGAATTGTATTAAATTGGACCGTTCACACTACGTAAAGCGAGCGAATAAAGTCTGCGATCGATCGCACATGCTTAATTTTAGGCGAACATTTGCGGCGATTTAAAGTCGCGTCCGGGCGCGAACTATTCGCCTAGCGTGTAAAGGCCTCTGAGGCCAAATTAAATAGCAAGTATTCTATTGTAAAAGGCTGTCAAAGAATATATTATACAATATACTGTAATCATTATCCTTTACAAAAAAAGTGAGGGAACAACATGAAAAGAGTACGGACGATGACCTCGTGGCTGTGTCTGGTTGATTTTTAAAAAATCGTTAATCTTTATTGTTTTATTGTCACTGGTACGACGATGAATTAAATTGTGAGAAAAAATTATGATACGGTTTCGTCGGTGTCGTCCCACGTCGCTCGTGGAGAAACATGCATGGCGATCTCGTGTCGATTTTGAAATTTAGGTGTTGCCCTGTTGAACATTGTTACTGGTGCATGGATGCATCACTGGTGGGTTACAGCTGATTACAAAATGATTTCATTTGTGCTTATCCCACAAGCATTATTACATAGCACATTTTCGCTGATATTTGCGTGAAAACTAAAAATTCGTCGTGTTTACTCTTTATTTAGAATAAATATTCAATATATATTTATTTACCTTAAATCTGTTGTATTCGCCGGTTTATTAAACACACATACAACTACAATAAATTGACGTTAAACTTGACAGTTCAGTAATCACAGTGTTTTATTTTCTATAGCCTATTCAAGTGTTAATTTAATTGTAATAGGTAATTATAATTTTAATAACTTGACCATTCAGTTGTCGTGAAGTTGTCTTTACCATCGATTGCGATTCAAGCATTCATTGTTTACTAGTAGGTGAGTGACTTTATTATGAACTCGTCATTTCAGACGCGTTACGATAGAAACAATCACATGTAATTAATATTTTATATTTATTTTCATACCACAGTATTAATGACTTAACATTTCTTTTAACCAGATCAATATAATTAAATAAATATTTATTGAAATTTAATCATAAAATTATTCACAAGAAAATGTAAAACCAAAGTTTGATATCCATAATATCGCAATTACATATATCGACCGATACATGACTAATTGCAATAATTTAAATTATTATATGATTAGTTTGTTTTATTAGGTTTTGTAAATGTGATCACAAATATTGATTTGTTATAATACAATTTATATTGATTAGCAAAATAATATCATTTGTATTATAAATTAATATTGTACCATAGTTGAAAATTCCAAAATGCAATTTGCAGGATATTTTATTTCATACTATGAATATTGGACAATTTATTATTGTTTGATAAGTTGGAATTAAATATAATTTAAATATTATTTAGTCAATTGTTTTATTAAAAACAAAGGAGGTATTGAGTTTACAATTTTTAATATTTAGATTTCATTGCAATAGTAATATGACAAAAAATTGGATTTAATATGAAATGTCAGATAATTTTTAAATAATTAAAATAATTGTATACCTTTTATTTAAACTGAAAAAACTAATAGTATAAATTAACTGTATTAGTGGCCAGTGTTCTTTATTTTGTGTGATTTTAACTCTCAAAATATTAAATTAATTAATATTTGCTGGTATATGTAGATATACCTAGTTGTAAAAAATAACTTTCAGACAAATCAATAATACATATTATTAGAACACTAAAATTAGAGCTCCTGAATTGATTATACCATAATACTACATTAAATATTAAATGTATTTATTACAAAAAATAAATACAAAATACTTAAGTAGTATTATTTAATAGTTTTTCTTTATCTTATTTACCCTTTCTATTAAGAATAATTTCACAAATTTAAAAATGTGGTTTAACAAATATAATAGGTAATTAATTCAAATTATTTTTTATCTTCAAATATTTTAATTTAGTTTCTATTAACATTAAGTAATATATATTTAAATTAAATTACATTTGACATAAATGTGATTTAAATAGTGAAAAAATATATTGCTCCTTCTATTTAAGAACTTTTACAAGTGTTTTGAATGTTTTCCAAAATATTTACAAGTATACTTAAAATTATAATTTTTAAATGAACATAATCGTGTTTGTATTCTCTGAAAATTAATGCATTTATAAAAATGTCATGATTTCTTTCATTATTACTGTTTTTTAATAAATGTTTTTGTTGGTTTATTTTATATTTATTTTTTAAAGTTAATATCTTACAATAATCTATATCTATATCAAAAAGGATAAATTTGTTTGAAGTTAAATTTATTCTAAGTTTAATAATTTTAGCATGTATCATAATTTAATTATACCTAACTACCTAAAGAAGTAATAAAGATTAATAAAAAAAAAAAAAAAAGTTGAAAGTTATTTAAACATTTGAAAAATTCACTAAAAAATTATTTTTTTAGTTTATAATTGCTAAGAATGTGTAACATACACAATTTGTTCTAATGAAAGTGAATACAATAAAAGTGTTTTTTCCAAACACAAATTTTAACTTATAAACTATTAGTAATAAAATTAATGCATAACTTACATTAGATAATTAAAACTTAGTTGTCTTAAAATTCCTCATAATTTTTAAACAATATTCTTGTTATTTAACATTTATTAACTGAGTTTGATGTTTATTATTTTGTTTATTTTTTTAGATCTTTTATAAGTTAAAATAAGTATATTAACTATTGCTTCACAATGGCACCTAAGTTAGTATCAGCTCAAAATCGAAACAAGTCTAAGGATAACATCTTTATCGATAAACTCAATCAGGCTTTGATAATCAACAACAATTTACGTAAACGCATTGAAGAGTTATCGGATAAAAATGAAGAATTATCAACTGCTAAGAACAATTTATCGTTGGAGAAATTGTCATTGCAAAATGAAATTAACTCTATTAAAAATTCAAATATTCAACTGACTGCAATGCATAATAAAATGAATAAAAAACTTACTACCTTAGAACAAACTGTTCAAAGTTGTATACCTGCATTAGTAACTATGTCGCAAAATATTCCATCTATATTAGAAAGTATACGTGAAATGAGTAAAGTTGAGATCAAAGAATTTAACCAAGAAAAGAAAAAAAAACAAACAAAAACTGTTTTACCTATGATCAATGGTATGGTCATTTCTACTCATCCATCTATTTTTGTAAAGCGTTGTGATGATAGTGATTTCGATTTTGATGAAAGTCCTGTTCCTAGTCCTGCTCCTAGTCCTGCTCATAGTCCTGTTCCTAATTCTGTTCCCAGTCCTGTTCCTAATCCCGTTCCTAGTCCTAGTACTGAACAAACACCAAGAAGACCAAAAAAACCCAGTTACAGAAGCTCACCACAACCCAAACTTAATACGGAACCATATGTAAGATTAAAAGATGTTGCAGCTATGTTGAAGAATTCCAAAACTGTTCCTAATAAAAAAAATCCTCAACGTCAATTAAATGAAAGTTTAGGTGAAGGTCCTAGTTGGTTACATAATCCAGAAAATCAAACACAAAATTCTAACAATGCGGTACAAAGTAATACAATACAAAATGTTGAAAGTTCTCCTAAGTCAGCAACATCTAATGAAGTCCAAGTTGATGTGACAAGAATTGCTTCTACTTCAAGTAGTAATACAGATAATATATCTGATAGAACTGAAGAACGCCACAGTGAATTAGAATCTCCTAATAATTCAACTGTGCCAAGAAACAATACACGTCGAAAACGTTCTAAACGATCAAGTGAGTCAAGCAGTGAATCAGATATTGATGATTCAACTTCTTCATCAAGACCTAGTAGATCTGCTACAAAAAATATTAACTATAAAGAAAAGAGCCTTGGCAGTAAATTCAGAAAATCATAAAACTAAAAAAAAGAAATTGTTTATGCATATTATTTGTTGTTATTTTTAATTATTAGTTAAAAACAGATATTTTTTTCATACTTATGATTTAATCTAAGCTTTAATTTTAAACTTCATGTTATATTTATTTTATTAAAAACAGTTAGTATAATAGAAATAAGTTTCACAAGTTTTAAGTACATTCTAAAATAGTTCTTAACAAAAAAATAAATAAATATCAACTACCAAGAAAAGGGTCTCGATGGTAAATTTAGAATATAATTATTTCGTATCACAAAACTGATAAAGAAATTATAAATGATATTTCATTGTGTTACAGTATTTTATTATCTATATGTAATTTTTCATTACTATTTAACGACAGCTTTTTTTTAATTTATGATTTTTTTTAGTTTTAATTGGTAAGCTAAATAATATTATGTATATTTTATTTTATTAAAATAAGTTAATATGATTTAAATCAGTTTTTCAAGTATTTAATGAATTTTAATAGTCACATTTTGTTGAATTTCTTTTTGTGGTTATGAAAGCAATGTATTTATGTTAATATATTATGCAACCTGAAAGTGACTAATATAGGTATTGTCAGAATTTAATAAATTGTAACATTCAAAAAATTTATTGATTTAAGTTGTTATTTATTTATTTTATTTAATATTAATATCATTATATTCTTAAGTACTATTAGTATTAATGCAGATTAGTTACTGAAATAAAATAAATTTAATGTAAAATAATTGACAAGTCTTCAGTTTTTAAAATTAATATAAGGTCATAATTAATGTAAAATTATAAAAACTTGAAAATACATGATTGTTTTTTAGGTTCAACTGACCATACATCTAAAATTTACTAATATATATTAGTATGTAATATAATATGGTTTGAGTCTAAGGTTTAAGGGGACAGCTGCATTCAAAATACATGCCATTTTTATAGGGGTTTGTGTTAGTCCGAAATACATGTCATGTATTCACATGTTTATTTAATATGCACTTAGTGCATAACTTAAAATTTTTTTGAACTTTTGTAATTTAAAAAAAAAAACACTTTTATAGAAACATTTTATAATATGGTTGTTATAAATGATTAGTTTCTAGATTGAAACATTTTTATAACCGAGTAAATATTTTACTGAAATGTACCTATTGTAGTGTATTGTGGTCTGTTTCACAGACATCTATTGGTCACTAAATTGATAGTACCTCAAATTTATTGGTAAGCATTATTATATTTATCTGAAATAATGAATGCAAGAAAGGTAAAACAACGCTGTTACAACTATAATAGTAATAAAAATATTTTGATCAAATGAAGATATCACCTGTATGTGTTTTTCTGAGTCTTGTATTATATTATTAAGTTTTGGAATGTTAATTTGTTCATAACAACTTAACTGTGGTGTGATGATAGAACTACGAGTTGAAAATATGTTAAGTGAAAAAAAAAAACTTGTAAGTAATAAATGATTTTAAATTTTATTTTCAAGAGTTATTGTGTAATGATATTGGAAGGTGGGCTTGTTGTAAAGATTCGTGTAAGGCTTACATAAAATTAAACTGAACACAAAGTTATACCCTGCAAGATAAATCATAATCACACTAAAGATGACAAACAAAAATTGAATAAACAACAGGTATGTAATAATTTTAAATATAAAGTTGTAAATGATCCTTTTGAAAAAACAAGTAAAATATTATATCGTGAGCTATTAAAAGGTAATATTAGTACATGAACAACAGATAAGACGACATGAGTTCGAAAAAATGTACATTACACCAGATATTGCTTTTATCCCAAACCGCCAGACACTTTGAGTTACTTACAGCTTGAAACATGGGCGCTCATTAGGGAAAGGGGAAATACGGGTTAGATTGCCCTCCTGGAGAAATAATATCTATTATTAGCGTTAATAAGTTATTTTTTAAAAGTAACTAAGTTACGTAGCAAGTTACCAATTAAAATGATTAACTAGATTACTTGCTAGTTACAGAAGCACAAAAGTAATGTGTTACATTATTTGTTTTACTCAAAAGTAACTAGTTACAATTGACGTTCCTCTCAGGTTAATTAAGTTTCATAGTAAAAGTATTTTAAACTAATTTTTTTTAATATTTATTTTAAAGGTACAATAATGTATCTTCAAAATTATTTTCAGTTATATGTGCTCTTTTCTTATATAAATGTCTCCAGCTACACTAAAGAGCCTTTCGACAGAAGCACTTGAAGAGAGTAACATTTTAAACTTTACAAACATTTGTTTCATCATAAGTAAACTATTTAAAAATTTTAAATTGCTTGTATAAACTGTATATAAAACTCCACTTAACCATTGGGGGATTGATCAGAAACTAACTCTTCGCTAAAGAGAAAATCATCTTCTACATTTTGATTCAACTTAATGGACTGTATGTTGGTCTATAATCTCCAATTAAGTGCAATCTAATTCAACACAAAATCTTTAGCTTCCTCTCTTTTTAATGGGTTCATACATCTAATAATAAAATAATAAATCATGACAATAATAAAAAATTACACATAAAGTAAATATAAATAAATAAATAAAAACTAAAAATATATTGAAACACATTTATAAAATAAAATATGTTTAAAATTAAACCTCCAGTAAACAAAACTATATTGTGAATATGTTAATAAGTGAAAATGATATTGATCGATTATTAATTGTTCAAAAAAAAATAGTCTACGAATCCCAGAGTAAAATACTAAAATACTAAACTCATTAGTAATAAATTAACCTAAAAATTATAAATATAAATTTAAAAACAGTTTTTAATAATTATTTGAGTTTAAGTTTAGGATGTGAAACAGCAGCAAGTATAATTGATTTCTTTATAATCATGAAATCAAATCGTGCATTTACACCATCTAAACAGACTGCAGCCAACGCTTAACAATTACCAGCTGATATAGATAGTTTCAATAATTTATTCTTAAACCAAGTAATTGTAGGTAGAAGATATCCCATACACATATATTATTTATCACCTTGAAGTAAATCAAGAGCTTAAGAGATTGGTTCTATAACTTAAAAAATCAGTTTTTTTTTAATTTGTATTTAATCAAAGATAAAATATATTATTTATAACAATCAATTAAATATTAATTTATTAGTCTAGTTATCTACTTTGCAATAGTAGGACATAAATGACACATCTTTTTTATCAAATCGAGAAATGTTTGCTTTATCACAAATAGATTGTAATTTCAGTAGGTACTGATTTTGTCAAATAGTCATATGAACACTTGACAGCCTTACAAGTGGAATTGCAACGTGTAGCATTTGGTACAACAATGTAAACGTTTAACGAATCATGGATACCATCAGCAGTTTGACAAGTCCGTTTCTGTTTGTTTCATAAACCTGACATTCTAGCAAATGTGATCCTAATTTGCTTTTTATAAATGGAATCAGGTAAAGCCTTTTCACTGTCTTTAATGGCAATTAAATTTAGAATATGACTAGCACAACTATGGTGAGATGGTAAACGGTACGCTGAATCAATGTTATCTTCTTTATTATCAAATTCGCACTGACATATTATCTTCTTGCTCACCAAAAATACTGTAAAAACAATTACATAATAATAATTATTATTAATATATTTAATTTAATAAGTAAAATAACTTATCATATTATGATTTATGATAAAATAAAATCTACATGCAAATTTAATATTAATATTATTAACTTTCAAAAATAAAACTAAAAATTAAATTTTATATTTTAAAACAGTGCGCTAATTAAGTGGTAAGTGCTAATTATTACATTTATATTGAGTAGATATAATATACTTCCTACTATAACTTAATATTAATCTTACCGAAAAGCCTCGACAAAGTTAGAGCCGTTGTCTATTACTACACTGATTTTCTTATTTAATATGCCATATATTATTCACAAAATACATCTTTTAATATTTTAGCTAATGTATCATATGTATGCCTCCCTTTAATTATACGACAAGCTAAAGCAGTAGATTTCTGATCAAAAGTTTCAAAATCAAACCGATGAGCTGTTATTCTAATATAACTTCTGAAAAAGTAATTTATTATTATTTTACAGTTTTAACTATAAGTGATATCTAACACATTTATAAATTTAGACTATATGTAGATATTTAATTTTTTAAATTATTTTGGTGCTTATTCAATACATCCATTAAAATATATTCAATATTCATATAGGATTTAGGTAAATTTTATTATTTAAATATTAAATTTGTATGATTTAAAAATGTGCCTAACGAACATATCATTTAAATATTAAATTAGGATAAATCGATAATAATTAATCACTTTTTAAACATAGACCAATAATTTACAGTTGCGAAGACATATTTTACATTTGTTGATGTTAATTCTTCTTTTACATTTTTTCGTACATTTTCTGCGTTTGTCGATACTCGAAATATTAGTGTTTTTCATGTTGATGAATGTCTATTAGAAAATCATTTATGAATTATTATTTTAAATTTCTCTTGTTCAACTGTACTGAACGGGTGATTACCACAAACTATGAATTCTGTGATCATAGTATTCAAACATTCTGAATAATATAAATTACAATTTAAAATAGTAAAAACTGTTTGCGAATGCCAATATTATACATTGTATTATTATAATAATAAAATATCTTACCTCGACTATAACAACTTGAGATCGGCTGAAAACATTAGGAATGGTCGTTTGTTTTTTATATGAACATTAGCCAATACATTACACGAGTTTATGTTAGAATTTTGCTCTTTTTAGTTATTTTCATTTAAAAGATCTTCAAGTTCTTTAAGTTTTGTAGAATGTTTCGCCTATATTAAATAAAAAAAAATTATAATATTATATAAATCTCAATAGGCTATATGTTTAGAGATTACATAAAATATGAATAAACTGAATTACTTATAGCAATATGTTTTTTTAAATTTTAACTACTTGTAATTGAAGTACATAATGTTTTCAACTTAATGTATAATTTACATTTAACTGTAATATTTTGGTTATTTTTGGATAAACATAAGAAAAATGTATTTTATGCAACCCAAGGTAGTTCTATGTCCATGATTAAATAAATTAAAAAAATTATACCGTGACAGTAAAATTTTAATCAAGTTAGACTCGCACGTTATAGGGAATGAAATGAATGAAAAATAAAAAATACACAATATAACTCGATTAGTTGTGACACGAGGTGACGTTTGGATTTTCTGATTTAATTTTAAAATATTGTTAGTACAATCTAAATAAAAAATAAAGGAAAATACCTACTTAAATATAATAAGTAATAATGAATAATAATAATAGTAAGATATTATCAACAACTATGATCTATAGAAATTTTCCTACTGAAGTCAAATGTTTTTTTATACTTATAATCAAACAACGTGACTTGAATTTTATTAAAACTTTATGTGTTTTGAACCAAAGTTGACGGAAGCAACAAGACCCGTTTAGATTTATTTATGCCACGAACAATTAACACCGTAAAATACTTGATCAACATTTTTGAACAAGTGCCTATATAAGTAACAACTCGTTATGATGGTGTCACTTTATCGGATTCCTTAATAATATTGTGCACCGGAACCCATAGAACGTATAGGAAAGAGAGGTGGGGTAGTTAGAATTGTGCTTTAAAATAAATTAACCTATATGTCGAGATTTCTCGTGTCAAAAGCACGTCCGCGGAGGTACAAAAGCTTCGTGTCACGCGTAGCTTCAATAATAATATGATACCTATCATACTTATTGTCATCATGTATGGGGGACGCTTGTGTACACCTACCTACCTACCTACCTATACTCGCGATATTTATTAATATATTTTTCTAACGATAGCAAACATACGCGTTGACGTATTTTACAAATCTATTATGCGCGTACCCATGTTATTAAGTACCATCGGTTGTCGTGCAGCATAGAAGTCCTGGATAATATTAGGTTGCACTTATGCCACTGCTGCAAACGCACGACAACAGAGGAGGAACAAACTAGCTATTGTCCGTACACGACATTCGACGTTTTTAAATATTAATGATCAGGTATATTATGGGCGTATGGCCGAACTATCATTACGACACTATTTAGGTCACCCAACTATTCAACGATTACAGATGTACATATACTTAACTATATTTTATGCTAGCACGAGACGTCGAATTTAAAAATTTATTACAAAGCTACATTATGATACCGCACGATACGTGTGCTCGTTTACCTATATAATATCATTTGGTCGATCACTTATACAATATAAAATTATTTCGTCGTTTACTTGGGAAAACGTCCTAAGTGAAAAAAGACGATTTTTTCATACACAAAAATCTTATTTATAAATTATAACTATATTGTTTCATTTAAATATACAAATACTCAATGTTGTTAAAATGAAAATAATTTTTTTTTTCAAATGATACCTAAGAAAATTGTAATATACTTTGTGGGGAATCTAATATGTCGTCAAAGCCATAATACTTTAATAACACTAAAATCATCAAATTTTCATAACAATAAAACATTATTTAAACTTAAACGTGGCAATTATTCTTGTTTGATGAAATAACTTTTTTTGTATTTTTCAATAAATGATCAAAAGCTAGTGGATTAAATTATCGAAATTTTAATAACTGTCACAGATAATGTTATCAATTATCAATTATGAATTTTTAATTACTTTAAAACAATTCCATGTCACTTTGATTTTAACATGTTTGAAATTATTTTTGTTAAAAAAAAAAAAACATTCTGAGGGGTGCATTCCAATGACGTTTACAATTTCTTTAAGGTGTTTTATTTTAGGCACAAATGTTAATTTCATCTTTTGTTTTGTCGGCTAGCATTTTAGTTTTTAGTTATACGATTAGTATATAGTGGTATATTTTCTCTATATTGAGAATAGCTTTATTTTTATCGCAAATTTACATTCGGTTCAGCATGCATAATTTTTTTAAATTTTTTTTAATTTGTATCACTTAGATCACTTATTTTGGTAAATTTGAAGTAGGTACTAAGTCCTATTTTATAACCAAATAATAAGGGGAAAATGTTATGCCTGAACGGTAAGCTCTATTCTTTATTGACTGAAAAATTGCAAACTTTGGGCTCCAGTCTAAAAATTTTTTTTCATCATAGTATTTAAAAAAATTAAAATGCTCATATATTTTATTGTAAAAAGAACCTATTCCGTATAATTAATTAAAATAAAAAAATGTTGTCACATATTTTGTCCATTGTAGTTTTCAATTTAAATATGGTTTAAAGTAGATTATTAGATTTAATTTGCAATTTAGTGAGTCAAAAACGTAATTTTTTTTTTGGTAGATTAAAATAAATAATATTTATTTGATTTTTTTCTTTCATTGTTTATGGATAATTATTATCTTATGAAATATCTACACAGATACCTACTTAAATTAAAATTATTCTCAAAGTATAAAAATTATTTAAAAATGTTAAATACTTATTTAAAACAAAAACTTATCTTTTAACTTCTTTGATGCATGAAACAAGTTTTTAACTTGGAAAGCAGAGTCTTATCATTTTTGGAAATTAAAAAAATTAAAAATTAAATAAATATAATTTGCATTTAAATTCATGCCCTATAATATATGTTTAACAGGTATGTATTGTATGTATATCCAGTGTCATTTTTTATCCTTGACGATCTTACAGAACTTCATTATTTTATCACCTAGCGACGAGTGTATTTACTAACACACTCATTTGTACGAAATTAACACATTTATGTGTACCACAGTTTAATACATTACAGACCTTTTAGCTACTGAACACATTAACTCACGAAATCAGAACGAGAACGCAAACGAATCCGATAACACACGTCGAAAATAATATACACATTCTAATACAGATCACGCAAACGAATCTAATTACACGCGACTAACATGGGTCGAAAAATAATGGGTTGCGATCCCATTGTTAAATTCACTATACCCGGAAGTACTGATCCGATCGGTGCCGAATGCTGTAAGATCACGGAATATGCCGTGGACCGGACGGTCCTAGATTGCGTGGACGGAGCGAAACCTCTCAAAAGTGTCCGGACGATGGGCTGCTATTTAGAACCCCGTACGGTTGATGGGCACATTATGGACAAGAAAATTCTTGATTACACCAACTCAGGATCGAGGAGTCCGGGGCCAGCGGCTTACTGCGTGAAGACAACGATTGGACCACGAGCAACTGATCCGTCGATCGAAAAAAATCCCGCGTACTCTATGCCAGGAAAGAAATCCAAATACGTAAGTAATAAATATCCCCGACACGATATAATGATGAAACTAATAATATAACGATTTATACACGTATAACACTTAAACTTACTTAAACAAACAAAATTATGTAGGTAATGGTCGACTCTGATGTGGCATGTGTGTGTATTCTAAGTTTAAAAAATATAGTTTTGTGCGAATTAAAAACCAAAGTTGTTTGTACCAAATTGTTGTAATTTCACTAAAAGATTAAGAATTATAGAGAAGTAATAATTATTTGTGCTTAAATTGGTTAATTTTTTAATGATTTTTTGAAAAATAAAAAACCTAAACTTTAAAAATGTACAGAACAAAAAAATTAAAAAAAATAAATTTCCCGTTCAATAATAGCAATAATCTAAGTATAGTATAGAAAATATTATTCTCTATTTTTCTATAAGAGTTTGGTGATTTTAGTATTAAAGCGTCTTCAGTATTAATTTAGGTAAATTTTATTTTTTCATTACAAATTACGTGTGGGTATTGTCCACTTAATGGGTTTGATAAAGGCAATTTTAATGAAACTTCGAGAAGAACTAACATTTTTTATCTTAAACATATTATGTAAGGAAATATTTTAAGCTGATATTAATTTATATTATGGTCCCAACAATGGTTGTTGCATAATGACGTAATTATATAAAAAATACCGATTTTGCATAGCAGGACAAACTTTTGAATAAATTAAAACGGGAAAATATACTTCAGAAGACTTACCAAACTTGCACAAAACATCGAAAAGAACTTTAAATGAGTTATATCGGTTTTTTGTTTTTTATTGTTAATACTCACTCGTTTTGTATTAAACAAATTAAAAAAATGTAATGAATCTTTATGAATGAATGATTTGGATTGTCATTTGTCTTTGAAATCGAAAAAGAAGTACTAAAAAAGTTTTAGTAAATATTTGGTAAAGTTTTTATTCTCGTAAGTTTATTTCGCACAAAACTATTTTCTTGAATTAATTATAGATATTTTGGAATTCTCTTATAATATATTTTAATTTAAACAAGTTAAATTTTTAAACAGACTATTCTTGCAGCTGCAAACTTATGTGATTTATTATTAAAGGGTTCAATATTTTTTTAAATAATTTAAAGTTATTACGAAACAACATTTTTGAGAAATGATCATGTTTAATATTTTTTATTTCTTATTGTTGTATACTTTTTTTGAATGGCAGTACATTATATTTTTTATTTAATATCTTGAAGCCAAATATTTTTTTGAAATTTTAACGAATCAGTAGTTAATTAGTTTTACTTATTTTTATAAGTGTGAAATTAAGATCAACAGAGTCATTAAGATGCACCTTATAAAATGTTGTTTTAGGACTTAGGACTGTTAGGTAGCCAAATTCAAAGTTTTTAAGGACAATTTGACATTTTTAAATTTAATAATTTTTATGAAACACTGATAGCTTATTTTTAGGGGTAATTAAAGTAGGAGTAACTTCAAAAGTTATTGAGTGATTGTTACTGTCACTGTTGATTTGAATTCTTCGATTAATCATTGTATAATGTATAGAATTAAAGACGTTTTTTAATGAAGACATTCTAATTTGGTAACCAAGATTACCAAAAATAATTTTAATAACGATAATATTAGAACGTTAACAGAGATTCGTATTTTTTTGTTTTTCTGGGTTATTTTAAAAAGTATTGAGACATTTCTACCTTTGAAATTAGACGTGTTTTTAAGACTAATGTGAGGAAATGGGCAAGGAGTAGGTATACACGTTTTCCATGCGTGTAAAATATACGCAGCAGATAATATAGCCTTTTGCCTTGGTAGCTAGAACAAAAAGAAATCTCTGAACAATGACACGAACTTTTTAATGGGAAATGCGAAAATGGAACTAAATATAGATAAGTCCGTGTACAAATTACACGTCTAGATCCGATTGGCTATCAGAATTAACCTCTCTCGAATTGAAAGATCAGAGCATTTTTTTTTTTTTTTATACTCCGGTAGGAATCTCAAACTTTTGTATCTACTCGCAAAACGTGCTTATTTTCTCCCCGGAAACGGTAGTATAATAATCGTTTATTCAGAATAATTACGACGGAGTTCTATCGAACACAATACACACAGGTAGAAATTAAAATCGGGCTTAGCGCTGTTGGTTAGTAGTTACATCTTCGTCGATTGCACCAGTACAAAGTAACTGCGTGTATTCGCAGTGCGCACATTATTGACACCATTGCCCGTTAAGTCGCACTCCGAGTAGATGACAGCTGTGACCGCGGTCGGGCGAGATATTCACATCCGTTTCCGGTTCTATGACGTGCGCACCACTGTTGCAGGTGTACGCGCTCGGCCCGGGCCCGATGTACAACCCCACCGGAGTGTACCGCGTGGGCCGCGACCGAGTGCCGGGCGGCCCGTTCGGCCTGCGCGTGCCGAACGCCGGGCTGGCCGGCGGCCCCGGCCCCGCCGAGTACTGCGTCAAGTCGTCGCTGTCGACGGCCGGTCACCGGATCGGGCCGCGGCCTTGCCCGCCGAACATCGAACGGCACTGCGGACCGGCGCCGAACGCGTACTCGCCGTCGTGCCGGAACTGCCGGCTGAGCACGACGCTGGGGCAGCGAATAGTTCCGTCCAAGGTGTGCCCGACGCCCGGCCCCGGACACTACGAGACGCCGGCGGCTGACCTTTACCTGCCCGGCAGGTTCTCGTCCGGCAAGACGATTGGACGGCGGTTTGCGGAAAGCCGGAAGCCCGAGATGCCGGGCCCGGCCACGTACGACAGCAAGCGACCCAAATGTTGCACCAAATTCACGTTTGGAGCGAAGATACCGGACACGGTGCCCGCGTTCAGCGTCACCGCGGACAATCAACACTACAGGTGTTGAACACACCGTCTCCGACCCTATCCGGGTGTGGCGGTCGAGCGACGGTGTCTTTAAAAACCACCGGCAGCACCGTGAGACGGTGATACAAAAAATTGTATAAAAAAAAAAAAATAAAAATAAATTTTTATTCGGTATACAACACCGCCGTTAGGTTCGACACTGTTCAGAACTTTGTTAGCCGTTATTGTATTCCGCCACACATTTAAAGGACAAAATCCAGTGTCCTCGAATGTAATCTGTGCGATGATCAGTTGTTCTGCTTTAAAATTGTACAGTTAGAATATTATTGGATTTTGTGATGGTTTATATATATATATATACGAAAAATATACAAAACCGATTATTCTCCGCGGTCGAAATATGGTATGTAATTCAATGAAACAATAATGTTCAAAACTATAAAACACGAAAAAAATGAGAGTGTATCGCATAAATAATAAATTTGTTACTAGTTTATGATCTAGAATCATTTATCATAAATATAACAGCAGTATGTGTGTAATAATTGACCGATAACCACACGTTGCCGGTCACCATTTATTGGTGTAACACTTTGCAACCAAGAAGATAGTACGTATGTTGTTATTTTACATAATTTCGTATAGCCATTAGCCATAGTAGGTAATAGCTGGTATCAATAACCAAGTTCGTTACCTGCAGTTTCTTTATGATGGATAACTCTGATTTTAACCCTCTCCACACTACATCAATTTTTCACAATCCTATACCTGCTATACCCAATAAATTTTCGCATAAACAACAGCAAATGTACTATTTACTAAAAAAATATCAAGCCATAGTATTCAATAGGTACAGTCAAAGATGTCCTCACCAAATAGAAATAGATTAATATTATTTAATCAATTTACCACACCAAAGATTATTTATAAAACTATAAAATTCATCTCACACATTTTCAAGAAAATTTCAATATATACTGATTTTATTACCTAAGATATACTTTTATTTTTACCAAAATTTATATTTATTTTGTTTGTATAAAATGTTCTGAAAACATGAAAAAAAGGCAGTATATGCTTAATTAACTGAATTTTTCAAAAAATGGAAAAAAATACTTAATTAAATTAAAGTATATTATACAATGATAGAAATACTGTTTTTCGATTTTGAGTGAAGATCGTCAGTCCATATTAGTTATTATCAAGTTTATTTAACGATATTGTTTTCGATATTGCTATATTAAAGTACTTGATTTATTTTACTATTAGTATGACAATAGATTGATTTAATTTTCACAGAAAATATTGCATTTATTATATTATAAATATTTAATTAATTTAATAGAAACATGTATACCTATAATTAATTATTGTTATTAACTTTTGAATCAATACTGCCTTATTAAAGAACAGAATAATGCATGAATAGGTTCGTGTTAATAATGCTTAAAATAGATGACAATATTTTGAAAATATCACTGTGTATACAAAGTATAAATGTATAATATAATAATAAACGTAGTTTCAGTCTTCAGAAATAATATTTTAAATTTTTAAATCACAAATAAATATTTAAAATTGTTATTTTTAATTTTAATAACTGATTTTGTTTAAACTTCAAATGTTTATAGAGTATAGAGTGCTGGCTCAAGGATTTGCGGGGGCACGGGGCCTTGGTGCAAAATAATTTTTTAAATAAAAAGGTTTTCTTTCTAAACATTTAACAAAATACATAAAATGGCTATTGGCACACTTAATACTAGGGCTCCTTGATAATGGCTTAAATAAAATTGTTTAATGAATACATTTTCCTGATTTCATAAATTTATTATACTTCTAACGTGTTTTTCGCATATATTTTGATTATTTTTCAAGCATTTAGTCCAAAGCTTTAGTTATTAGTTATTATACTACAAATTTAGATTTATTCACCATAGGCTTAATATTAGTAAGTTTTTTTAGAATTTAATTTCAAACTACACTCGGGAGATTGAACGTGGTCTATAGTCTATACCAGGGGTTGGCAATTAAATTCTATAGAGGTCCAGAAAATAAAAAAAAAAATTTCGATGGCCAGTAAAAACTCAGATATTAGTTAATAATCGTTGTGTTATTTTAACTATTATTGTAAATAGCAATAAACGATAAACACCGTCGTAATCTCTAAATATATCATAAAATAGATAAAATATATATTATGTGTGAAAACCAGCATTATTAAAAAAATAAATATTTTTTGTGGTCCAATATTTTTCCTTCACGGGCCAGACTTGGCCCGCAGGCCGCCTATTGTCGACCACTGGTCTATACAATATGCGTTTTACATAGGAAACTTAACTATACACATTCCCACTAAGTAATTTTACGATTTTATAGAGATTTACACCAAGATGACAAAACTCGACAGAACAACTTTGTGATTGCAATTATAATGAATATAAATACCTACTAATTCGGAATAATAAGACACAAATCTAATTAAATAATAAATTGTTAAATAAAATCCATTATAATAATCAAGAGTCTAATGACAAAAATAGTTACTTACCTACGTAATTAATGTTCGCTAGTAGAACTCGTTATGGAATATGAATGCTTGTAACAAAAAGGAAAAACAAAATAATAATAGTACTCAGTATCATTAATAATGTGTAAAATACGATGTTTACAAATTACGAAAAAGATAATTAGCTGATTAAGTAATATGTGACATCGACTCAGATTAAATAACGTTACAATGATATTAATAATCGGGTGTTTATATTTATAAACCAATATTCTATGTTTTCCGAAATAAAAATTATAAATAATAGTAGCTAATAAGTAATAAAATATGATAACAATATTATAATATAGACAATTATTTAGCATGTTCGCCATGCTGCATTGTGATTTGTGATGTTTTGTCGCCGTCTGACACTGTGGTCCGTCGACTGTCGAGCACCACTACATACAGGAGATTTAATAATAAAATGTAATAATATAATACTCAATAATATTTTTAATAAAATTAATAATAGTCATTATTTACTATAAGCAGTTTAAGCATTGATTATAAATACTTTAGTAGTACCACACAGTTAATTATTTTTGGTTTTATTTGTGTGAATTTAGTAAGGTAAAAGCGTGGGGCCCGGTGATGGGGCACACCTCGTCCCCTCTCGAGTCGGCCCTGTGTCTATATATTCTTTTTGATTTTTTTGATTATTGTATGAACTAATCATGGGAAGCCTAGTTTAACATTTTCAAATTTTTAGCTATAAAAATAGAATACTTAATAAATTATTACTAAATAATTCGAAAATTTTCGTGATTTTGTCAAAATTTCGATTTCAACTGGTTATAAGAAAAAAATCTTTACCGTGTATATTTAATATTTTTACGCAAAAAAAAACCTATTTGGAACCTTGTATTGCATGTTTACACTTTTTGATAGGGTAGAATTGTTTTTATTAATATTTATAGAAACATTTCAAAAATAGTTAAAATATTTTTTTAATAATTTTATGTAAGTATAAAAAAAAATCTCAATGTAAACAAAGATGAAAATGTCAAGCTTTTACGTCTGTTTGTTTTTGAAACCCAGTATAATAAGAAAATTTTTATTTCATTTAATATAAAGAATATATAATTTTTTCAAAATTTATCAGTTCCGCGTGAACTGTGCGCGTGCATTTATTCGACTCTCGATAACTATGCTCGTATCTGTACTAATGTATAGTAATCAACAGAAAACGTACTAACTTGTGATAAATTAAGTACTACTCTACTTTCTTAGGTGTACCCATAATAAAATTTTATCAATAGGGACAGTAGGGTAATATTTTATGTATTAATTAAATTAGAATTTACAGAATATACTGTTTTATTTTACAAAAGTGTGGCTCTTACGTAAACAGCCTGAGGCACCATCCGTTCGGCGCCCTTTGTTCTGACAAAAAGATAACGCAATTATACCGCTTAATTATTCTAACAGAACTGTATCCCCAATTAAAATTATTAACAACAAAGTTGTTAAATTAACTAACCAAAACAAACGCGTTTTATCTGCCTCACCGGCATAATCGTCTACAACAAAAAGTATGTTCGAGTAAAAACTCGAAGGAATTTACTGCCCCCAATCACTTCTCCATTCTCTTTACACTTGAACCAGAAATTAGTTTCTTATGATCATCTATTTTTTTATGACACTTCACGGACTATTAGATTTATAAATTTAGGCGCAATTACACACTACTAATAATACACTTAAGGCAATCTTGCTTTCATCTTTATTTGTTAAAGGCGTCATCGATTTTTTTTACGATTGAGAAATAGCTTTATAGAGGAAATTGGCCAAAATAGCTTCTCTTATAAATCTACATAAAATCATCAGAAAATACAAATAGAAAATTCCAACAACTATATAAAATTAATCTGCTTCCTAAAAGGAATCAATACACAATTATATAGACCTATTAACTCCAATCTGAAAAACCAATGAGAATAGTTATCAAAATCTTTCCATCTCAATAACTGACATAATATCAGCAATCGAAAGATAGGAGTGATAGGACACTCCGTCAAAAGTGTAATTAATATCAAAAATGACCAAACCAAAATGCCACTCTCCCTGTTCTTCGCCTTGAAATGTGTAATTCTTATAATGTTTAATGATTTTACAAATATTTAACATCGATGGGTTTTATAATGTTTTATAGATATATTTCTTATAACATTTTAAATAATATTTTTAAAATTCCTTATTTAAAATAAAACCAACACATACACAGGCTTATTGCACTAATAATTAATGAAGTATGTGCTATAATACGCCTAAAAAAGTTAAAATATGTGTTGCATAAATTACAAAATATATTTTACAGAATTAAAAAAAAAAAAACCCATAATATGATAATAAGTATTGAATACCATTTACTAATATATTTTTTTTAATACGAGACCATAAATTCCATTAAAAATCATATGACACAAGTCAATAATAGGTTGATATTATATAATTTTATTCAACATTAATTAATAATTTAAAGTGATAAACAG